TGGTTGGGACCAATTGATGCATCTTAGGTGGCCACTTGCAAGCTTTTAAGACCCCAGACGCCACCCACCAAACTAGGATACAGAACATTTTCTTAATAAGCTTTGTTATGCCAATTGACCTAGATGTCCCCTGAAAGCATGGTCCCCAGACCTCTATCCCTGCTAGTCTGTCCCTCAAAGTGTTTGACTGTATTCAGAAAACTTCTTAGCTTTGGTTTAGTCCAGTTATGCTGACCTCCCAACTTGTATACATTTAAATATCAATAAACATGCATGCACCTACGTAAATGTCCAGGCATATAAACACACATACATATATGAATATACACATATATGTATGTATGCACTTAAAAGTGCAGGTTCTAGTTTTTAATCCACACTTCTTTGTTGATCAGTGAAAAGAAGGTCCCCGAGGAGGCATGAGTAGTTCTGAATAATTTGGGGGACGCGATGAACAAAGACCAAGAATACATGCTGCTAATTTATGAAGGGATTTTAGGATGTTCACATACTGCATTTACATGCAATCCTCATTTCAACAAAACTGTCCCAATCTGAGGGCACCCTGTCACACCACCTGCTGGTAGCTAATTACTCAGGAGAATGGGTCTGTGGGGGCAGGGGAAGGGAGGGAAGCAGCCAGCTGGGGCAGCAGACTGCACTGCCCACCGGCACGCTTTCCTCAATGATGGACAAAAGCAATCTCCGATTGGCACGGGGCTGGGTCTGTAGTACTCAGTTAATAAAGGTGGGGAAGCTGGTCTGAGTGGAGCCCACGCGGGGTGTGAGTTCACTGGGACGTAACCACTTACCAGCTGTGGGTCCTTAAGTGGTCTTTTCTCCTCTCCAGAGCCTCTCTGTGAACTACAGACAGGATGAGAACAAGAACCTCCTGGAGCAGTGACTGCACAAAAGGGTCCCAAGTAATCGTGTTTGACAATTATAAGTAACTTTTATTTTGTTTTAGTGAAAACAAATTCATGTTCTATATGAAAAAAGTAGAAAATATAAATAAGCAAAATAACAAAAGAAAAACAGACATAATGTCAATACTCAGAGAAAAGAATGTTAAGCCCCTTGATACGGCTATAGTCATATTCGTATCCTGTATCTATACCAATATCTATATCTATATCCATAACCTCGTCCATATCCATTTCTATATTCTTATTCATATCAAGACCCATATCTATATCCTTGCCAATACCTATAACCAAAAAAACAAACCCGTTGCAGTAGAGTCGATTCCGACTCCTAGCGACCTTATAGGACAGAGTAGAACTGCCCCATAGGGTTTCCAAGGAGCGGCTGGTGGATTCAAACTGCTGACCTTTTGGTTAGCAGCCAAGCTCTTAACCACTGTGCCACCAGGGCTCCTCCTATACCTATAGCCGTATCTATATCTAAATATATATCTATATAAACGTATATATGATTTTGCTTTTAGAAAAAAAATCACAGAAACAGGACTATATTGTACACAGTACTATATAATCTACTTTCTTTTGTTCACAGGATATTCTGAATATGTTTCCATACCAATTAATAATGTACATCATTTTCTGTGGCTCCATGGTATCCATTATATGGTTCTCAGTAATGAGTTTAAATCAGGGGTTCTCAAAGTGTGGGCCCTGGATCAGCAAATCAGTATCACCTGGGAACTTGGTAGAAATGCAAATGGATCTGGGGATGGAGCCCAGCAATTTGCTGGATCACTGCTTTAAGCAAACTCATCACTGGACATTGAGTCCTTCCCCCCACAATTCTTAGGGAGCATGTTCTGAACTTGTGGACTGGGACGTCAAAACTTTTCACTGTGCTCACTAAATTCAAGTGAAGTTATCTTAAAAATTCAGAATGTTGTGTTCACGTCACCAACTTTCCGTGGAAAGTGTAATTCCTCTTCACCTCTCATTTCTACTGACTTAATCTAGATTAAGGAGCCCTGGTGGCCCAATAGTTAAATGCTCAGCCAGCAGCTCCACAGGTGAAGCAATCTGCTACCATAAAGATTACAGCCTAGGAAACCCTATGGGGCAGTTCTACTCAGTTGTATAGGGTTGCTATGAGTCGGAATTAACTTGATGGCACACAACGACAACAATCTAGGTTAAGGAACCCTGGTGGCACAATGGTTAAGTGCTCAGCTGTTAACCAAAAGATTGGAGGTTTGAACCCACCGAGCAGCTCCTTGGGAGAAAGACCCGGAGATCTGCCCCCGTAAACATTACAGCCTAGAAACCCTATGGAGCAGTTCTACTCTGTCACATAGGGTCACTGTGAGTTGCAACGACACCTAACAACAATCTAGATGAGGACATTTAAGGATGAATTTGGGGCATCTGTGAAGTCTTTGAAATTATGTGCAATATTTAGAGGGTGAGTGCATTTTTCTGGAGAAAGAACACTGATCAGATTTTCAAAAAGTCCATGACTCTAAGATTAGTTTTTATTTGTTGTTGTTCTGTTCTCCCCAGTTACTTCAGTGAAAAAAGGAAAGGAAATGAATACAGGGGACCATGGAGCATACTGCCCAAGCAACATGGGTTCAGACCACCATCTTTTCTGCTAGTAGGCGAGTGCTTAACCTGTTTGTGCCACCCAAAGACCAGCCTTGGTTTTCTTTTCTGGGGAGGATAATCGATACTCTGCTGTTCTCCATCCAAGTCTCACCCTGCCGCTTTTTAGTAGGTGGCGAGCATAATTTTAGACTTCCTTTAAAATAGAATCTTTCTTGAAAATATTCACATCTTTTCACCCAGAAATTCTACATCTATGGATTTATCCCAAGGATAAATAATTAGATATACATGGAAGTATTTGCATAAGGTAACTATCATAAAATTATTACAAAAAAAAATTCAAATAGCCTACATGTCTAACAATAGCACATTAGTTACAGAGATTGTATGTAATGTAGTCATAGGATGTATTGTTACACAGTTAGTAAAACTGGGGTTTTTGAAAAATGGCTAAGGACTAGGTAAAGTAGTCATAGAATAATATTCAGTGAAGAAAAGTAGGATATAGATTACAACATCTTTATCCTAATTTAGTGTATGTATTAAAAATATCTGGGAGTTATGAGACTTGCACATTAACATTTCTATTTCCTTCTTTATTCTTTTCTCTATTATTAAGACTTTCTACAATAAACATTTATTGGTTTATAATCAAAGGGAAAAAAAAAAATCTTTGTTAAATAAACTAGACACTGTGTTGGTGGTAGAGTCCCTGGGTACTGCAAACTGTTAACCTCCTTGGCTGCTAACAGAAAGTTTGGAGGTTCAAGTCTACCCAGAGGCACTTTGGAAGAAAGGCCTGACTATCTACTTCAGAAGAATCAGCCATTGACAACCCTATGGGGCACAGTTCTACTCTAACACATACAGGGTAGCCAAGTCAGAATCCACACGACAGCAACTGGCAACTGGTATGTTGGTGGCAATAAAGCCTATTAAGTGGACTTAGCCCTAAAATTCTGATTTTAAATAGACCCTCTTATAAGCGAGTCCATTTCCTCTGCAAAAGTATAAACGGTGGCATGGGAGTGCCTTCCTGACAGACCAAGGCTCATTTACTTGCTTTCTGCAGAGCCCAGCTGTACCCGGAGCCCGAGTTCATGGTGTCAGTGGGACCCGCCTGTTCCTGGCAGAAGTTCCAATGCCCTCTCTGGAGATAAGGATCAGGCAGAGTGATGAGCTGATGTGACTGGTAATGCACTGATTTGCCTTTATCCGGGCTCTCTCTTCTGAGCTGTGGAATGCTCGGTGGTCCAGAACACCTCCAAATAGGTCTACGTGCAAATAGGAGTCATCACCACAGCCACAAGAGTCCTGAGACTCCATGCCATCTATCATGTCATGGCAGGGTGACTGGAAACGCAAGAGAGACTCTCCATGAGCCCCACACAGGGCTCTGTTGGTTTATTTTATGTCACACCTACTGCTATGTCTGCTCAGAGAACAAGCTTTATTCCTCTTTCCTTAGCAGTCAAAACATGTTTTTGGAAACACAGCCTTACCCGTACTACTTAACCATGATTGGTTAGTTAGTTTGTATGTTTAATCATTCATTCAACAAATATGTACTGAACATCTCGTGTGCCAGGTGGGATTTGACATTCTGGAAAAAGAGTGGAGAGCAGCCAGGCCCTGTCCTAGTCTCTTGAGCCCACAGGAGACAGACATTAAACTAACAGTCATGATAATTAATGTATGGTCGCCATCTCCTGACACTCGCGTGGGGTTTTTTGCAAGCGTTCTGTTTCTAATTACAGAAACGATGTCGAGATTCGCCAATGGTTTTAGAAACTGTAACTCAGAGCAGTTAGCCCTATGGCAGCATCACTCTCACTTACTCTTGTTTCCAATGTGCTTTCCTAAGTGGGTGGAATTATAGCCAGAGCTCCAAGAATTCTATAAACACCAGGACTCCTTTGGAAGTGGGTAGACATCATCCATTGTATATGTGGCAGCAGAAAATAGGAGGCGGTTGGGAAACACGGTCATCACCAAAGAATATTGCTTCTTGGACTCATCAGTCCTGGGGTTGCTATACTGCCAAGCTGCTTTATCTCTCTGAGTCTCCACATTGTTATCCGTGAAATGGGATAATAACTCTTATCTCACAGGGTGGTTGTGAGAACTAACAAGATAATCAATGTAAATGCCTGGGTTTTTTGTTGTTAGGTGCCATTGAGTCAATTCCAACTCATAGAGACCCTGTGTACAACAGAACAAAACACTACCCAGTCCTGTGCGATCCTCACAATCATAGCTATGTTAGAGCCCACTGTTGCAGCCACTCTGTCAAGCCCTCTTGTTGAGGGTCTTCCTCTTTTTCTCTGACACCCTACTTTACCAAGCTTGATGTCCTTCTCCAGGGATTGCTTCCGCCTGATAACATGCCTAAAGTACGTGAGATGGATTCTTGCCATCCTCACTTCTAAGGAGCATTCTGGCTTAGTGCTTGCAAAATTCACATGCTCAAGAAACCTTAGCTCCTTCTATAGTGTCTGTATAAAGATCAAGATGCCCCCTTTTAATTCCTAATAGTGGCGTCAAGCTTCTCTTCAGAAGCCTTGGAAGTGTCTGAGACCCAAGAGTACACAGGCCTTTGACTTTTTTTGACTTGAGGTTTAAGTCTTTTTTCCTTTTTATGGCCCCGTGGATTCAGCAAATATTTTTGCGAGCACGTATTATGCATCAGGCGGTATTCAAGGTGGGGTGTGTAAGGAGGTGAATAGACATACTCCCTCTTCTCAGGGATCTCCCAGTCTAGTGGGGCAGCCCAGGGCATGGAGGGATAGAGAGGTTCATCATAGCATGGAGAAAGTCTCCCACAACAACCAGGAAGGGAAGCCCAGGGAGAACACTGTCCTAGCTCAGAGGTGGGTCCCAAGGACAAGGAACCCATGTCAAGACTAAGAAAGCAGAGGGAGCAAAAGTAAGGCTGAAGAATCCAATGGAAGGAAGTAAGGATTTCTTTTGGTTGCCCACACTTTTCCCTCTACAAGTCAAGGCACAGGTTGTACCTCCTCTGAACGTATAGCTAGCTAACTGCATACCTATGGATTGTTCTAGAATTCAGCTGTAGCCATACCAGGTCTAGGCTGCAGGAGAGCAGCCAGCTCAAAGGGGACAGCAGGATGTGATCAAGAATGACTGTTGTGTGCAGGTGTGTCCTCAGAGGAGGGATTGTTCATGCTTACCTGTGCGGTGCCCTGGAGGAACCAGTCTCTAGGTACTTTGTGCACCGTTCATACGTAAGAATGGTTTGCTCTTTTCCTCATCATGAAAGTCAATGTTTCAAAATTTGCCATAGTCTTATGTTAAATACTTTGTCATTCCTCATCTCCCGGATCAGCCTGGCGTGAACTTGGTAAGATGCAAGCTTAGGTCGTGATGTGTGTTTGGGTGCACGTTGTGAGTGTTTTCCAAGTACTCCGGGGCCCTTGACAATAAAAATAGCATACAATGTAGAGTCAGGGCGCACTTTTAATCTCTGCCCAGATCGGTGCCAGGATCCTGTACACAACTATGCTAAGTCAAAACCTACTTCATTGCCCTTTTTCCCACCCTTCCCCTCATCCACCTCAGGCTGCCAGTAAGCGTGGCCATCACTGGGCGTTGACACAAATCCTAGTCTCCCCAGTGTCCTGGTTCCTATCGAGCTACTGTAACTTTAAAAAGATTTAACAAAGACTACCTCCACCAGCTAAGCTGAAATGAGAGCGTCTCCGGAGTTTAATGGATCAAGTAGCGGTGATAGGTTTTATGGCTCTTTTTCACTTTAGGGCATAGGAAAGAGAGAGCTGGGCAGGTTGGTTTTAAATTCAAGGATTTATGTTGTTAATCCTCCGGGCTAATTATAATTTATGGGATCTTGGCAAATTAATATGCGGTTGCTATTCAAAAGTGGAGAGCAGTGTGAGGCAGGCATAAACAAGCCTTGTTCATTTTTAATTTATTTCCACCAATGGAGAATATTAAATAAAATGAACACTAGGGTATTTCGCTCTGAGTTTGGTGTTCATTATTTCTCTCTAAATTATGAAATTCATATAGCAACTCCTTGTTTTTTCACCAAGAACCCAGAATTAGGGAGCGATAGCATCCAGACAGCTAGGAAGCAAACAGAGTAATTTTCCCTCCACTGCCTTTAAGACACGCTCAACAGTGCACGCGTGGAGGCGGAGGATTTCTAAGCAAGGGTGTTAGTAGGATCCAAGGTTTGGCAATTGTACGTCGGGATTGTTTAGAAACAGAATTTGTGAGTGGTGTGTTGTTGTTAGGTGCCATCAAATTGATTTTCAACTCATAGCAACCCCATGTGACAAAGTAGAACTGCTCCATAGGGATTCCTTTCTCCTAAAGAGCCACTGGGTAGGTTCGAACTGCCAACCTTTTGGTTAACAGCCGAGCTCTTAATCGTTGCACCACCAGGGCTCCTTTGTGAGTAGAACGTGAGCTTAGAATTTCAGTTTCCCCAAACCAAACATGTCCACCCTCCAATGCCGAGACTCCAGCCATTATGTCTTAAGGGCTGACCTGGTAGATGTTGAGCAGGGAGCGACCCCATTTCAGACCTTTCAGACTTCAGCAGAGCGACCTCATTACGCCCAGGAACCCCATTTCATCAACATCCCCTATGGCTGTTGTTGGGTTCTCTTTCAAATAAATCAGCTTCTCACTCATGAGCATCTGGCAGAAAAGTTTCACTGATTGGCAACCATGAGGTAGGTAGGTTCAATCTAGCATGATAATTAGTTGCTCCACTAGAAGCAACAAGAACACCCCTCCCGTTACCCTACTCCAGCTCTCTTCTCTACCCACCTCCCACCCCCAGTTCCAGCTGGGAGAGGCCAGCAAATGTCACTTGGAGAGCTGGGGGAACCTTGGGCTCTGAGCGCAGGAAGCAAGTTGGAGTCTTGCCTCCAGCTGTGTAGCTCAGATAACAGCTGGAGCAGAGAACACACTACTCTCTCTGCTGGAGTATCTGACCCAGTTCTGACTGGTGGAGGGGCTTAATAGTTTGCACCCCAAGTCATTCTGGTCCCAGTGTGAAGGGAGAAGCCATCATTTCCCTCCACACCTACCCCCTCCTGCCAACATACACTCCATCCCTACTCTGCCTCTCTCCGCTGTCCTTCCTTTCAATACTGTTATGCTCATATTTGGTTCTCTTGTCAGCAGGAAAATGAAAGATCACTTTCAATAATTTTGAAGGTGAAATTGAAGGTTTTGCTTGGGGAGGGAAGCCAGGGTGGAAAGGGTAAGGGTTTCTGAAGTCAGACACCCCCAGTTCAAATCCCAGCTCCACCTTTGATCAGCTGAGTGCTATCAGGCAAGCTGTCTGACTTCTGTGAGTTTTCTCACCAGTGAAATTACAAAAACGTATTGGTCTCTTGGGCTTGTTATGAGAAGTAAGACATTGAGAAGCACCTGGCACATTACCTAACTTCTAGATGCTTAGGAAAGGGCATTCCTTCCTCCTCCCAGGCCTTACCCTTGTGCATGGTTCCCTGCAAATATTTGTAGCACTGAACATACTCGAAGAGAATGGTCCTGTCAGCCCCCACAGAGAGCCACAGATGCTTTGACTCAGGGAGGGTATTGGAGGCTCAACGGTAGTAAATAAACCTAAGGAACCTTGCCAACATCCCCCAGCGCCCGAGGGGACCAGTACCTGTTGCTTCATGCATGCTTGTGATATGAACAAGGGTTCATGACTTATAAACAACCCAGGCCCTGAGACGTTGGAGAGAAGTGGCTCTGTTGTGCCTTGTTTTTGTTTGTGGAAACAACAGGGAATCAAACCAGTGTGTTGACAGACCTGGTTCTGCAGCACTGTTTTATTCACGGATCTGTAGGAACTTTTTTTGCCTAATAGTTTACTAGCAAGAAGACACTCCATTATCTATATTATTTAGAAATGAAAGCATAGACAAAACTGAAATTATGTACTCAGTGTTTGTAGTTTTGTAGTTCAGTAATAGAGGATCATCATGAATTTCCTTTTTTATCTATTCCTCCAAAGGAGTAAAATGGAGAGAGTAAAATCCAGAACATTAAAAAACAAAAAGAAAGCTTCAGTTGGCAAGAGACTGAAAAGTCCTAAAAGAAAGGTAGTAGGTAATTTTGGGGACAAATAGGCATAGATGATGTCTAGGCAAAGAGAATGGAAAAAGATCTGGAGGTCACAGTGGTACACATGCTTAGGCTTATCATATTACTGAGGTCTGTCCAAAGATCATTTGGCTTTAATTTATAGAGCACATCCTCCCATGGACTGAGGTGTGTGTCCACTGGGCCTGGTAGGGGACAAATTTATGTAACAGTCTCCATCTTGAATTCAAATTCTAGTCTTACCTATCAACTCAAGCTTTGCAGCTGAGTCAAGCTAATCAGTCCGTCTCCTTCTCTTGAGGATGAACTGTCTCCTAGCACCCTGCTAGGTACCTCCACAAATGCAGTTCTTTCTGCTGAGTGCCCCAACCAGCTCCCGAGCCACACCTAGATGTTCAATCTTAGCTGATACCAGGACTAGACACAGCACAGGCTCAGTATGATAATCCACCACTGTCCCTCCTTCCCAGCTTGCTCATCCTACTGACATGAGATTTAGGTGGTCTCAGTTTTAAATATTTAGTTGCTCTTTCCCTGTAAGTCCACTACTCATCTGTCAGTTTGTTGTACTGTGGTGGCCTGCATGTTGCTATGATGCTTGAAGCTATGCCACCGGTATTTCAAATACCAGTAGGGTTACACATGGTGGACAGGTTTTAGTGGAGCTTCCAGACCAAGACAGGCTAGGAAGAAAGGCCTGGCAATATACCTCTAAACAGTAACCACTGAAAATGCTATGGATCACAACAAAATATTGGCTGATATAGTACTGGAAGATGAGCCACCTAGGTTGGAAGGCACTACAAAATATCCACAACAATGGACTCAAGCATACCAAGGATCGTGGAGATGGCGCAGGACTGGCCACATTTCGTTTTGTTGTACATAGGTCACCATGAGTCAGAGCCAACTTGATGGCAACTAACAACTACAACATCCTCTTAAATGTATATACATGTCAGAGTCAAGATTTTTGGTTCAGGTCTACTGGCCCAACAAAAGGATTCTCCTCTCCATATACAGGTAGGAGGTCATCTTGATAAATCAGCGACGGGCTCAGCTGTCAAGCCACCATCCCTTTCACTGAGTATTGCTGAGGCTCAACCTGAGGACTCAGAGAAG